TTTACATCTCCCTCTCATACCTTCAATTAAATAGACTTAGCACAGATTCTATAGCTGTCTGGTTTTAATACAATTTCAGATGCATAACAGGAGATCTAAAATACCACTTAAAGAGATAATGGTTTTATATGCTGACTATCCAATCTGAGCCAGAAAGGGCTTTCTCCCCACTTTGCCTTATTCTCTGTTGGAAGGATTAATAGCAGGGCAATACATGAAAGCAAATTAGAGGAGAGTAGGCCTTGAATGGTATCAGAATTTGGCCTTTCTCGTTTTGCCTAGAAGTGCCTCTGGCTCCTGGCGGGAAGATGGAAGCTTGGAGCCTCAGCCTGCAGATTAGTATGACACTTGAAAAAGTTCAATGTAAGGGACCCCAGCTAGGGTGCGGTTGTGGTCACACCGCCTCCATTCTTCATTGTCTTCAAGGTTAAGCTTTGTTATCTCAGGCAGGTAAGGGTTGAGGTAGAATTCTTATCACTCTTCCCAACCCTGGGAGAACCTCATATTCTCATTGGCCTCTGGAAGGGGCAGGGACTGTACATCTATAATGACTAAGCTTGGCCCCAAACAACAGTAGAGAAAATACCCATCCCTCCTGTCTTTGTAGAGGTGGGGCACTATTGATATGGAATATTTTGAACATACTGTTAGATACGGTTGATATATGGGTTGGTTTTACTTGGATTGCTTTTTTAATCTTTTTAAATCTTTGTTATAAATAGGTCTCATTGGGTGGTAGAAGCAGGGGAGGGTGTGGTGTGAATGAAGCTGATTTCAACAGAAGCTATCAATAAAAATAAAATTAAAAATATAAAAAGGAAAGTCATCAGCCTCATGGAGATATAGGAGCACCTAAGATCAACTTAGCCTTTTAGCTTAAATGTGCCTGCTGAGATGTAGCAAAATCAACTGATTCAAGTTTTACTTTCTCTCTTCCCTCCCACCCCATATGTCCTTTGATGAAAAGTCTAATTAACAATACAGTCAACAAAAGGATGCCTCTTATTTATAAACTAGATAATCAGTTTGTAAATAAATTAGTTGTGGCTCTTTTAAATATTCCTTATTTAAACTAAAACTGTGGGTACTACATTTATTTTTTAAAATATAAACTCAATCATTAGCAAACACACCAAATGAAGAATAAAAATCTTTTATGGAATCCTTAGTATCTAACAAAATAGAACCAATCATGTTAACAGACAACAAAGACTATGCTTGCTCTCTGTTCTTTTGTAGAATGTAAGCTCATTGCAAGTAGGAACCATTTTATTTTTTATACTTGTATCTTCAAAACCTCGCCTAGTGCCTAGCACATCATAGGTGCTTAATAAATAAATTGGTTGATTCCAAGTTCGCCTGAAGTTCTGCCTCTTTGGCTTTGTTTTCTTTTATCTAAAGTTGTAATACTATACTTAGTGAAAAGAGCACACAGAAAATTAGATGTCACTTTTCTGTTCAATCTATCAACAAGCATTTATTAAGTGCTTAATATCTGCTGGGCACTGTGCTAAGCAGGGTAAGAAAAACTGAAAACAGTACCTTCAAGGAGCTTACATTGTGACTGGGAAAAAATGAACATATACAAAATACTTATGTAGTAGATAGAAGGCAGCAGCTGGGAAGAGTGGGAAAGGACTTCTACAGAAGGTGATATCAGAGTTGAATCTTGAAGGAAGCCCGAGAGTGTAAAAAGCAGGGGGTAGGGAGCAGCTAAGTGGCACAGTGGATAGAGCACTGACCCTGGGGTCAGGTGGACCCGAGTTCAAAAATGATCTCAGATGTGTGCTAGCTATGGACAAGTCACTTAAACCTGATTGCCTCCAGAACAAAACAAAAAAAGAAGCATAAGGGAGAAAGAAGACCATTCTAGGCATCAGAGACAGCCAGTTCAAAGATGAAGAACTGGGAGATACAGCATTGTGAATGAAGAACAAGTAGGCAGGTTTGGATGGATGTATGGAGGGGAGTAAGAAGATTAGAAAGATAGGGAGGGGCCAGGTTGTATAGAGCTTTAAATGCCAAACAAACAAGTTTATATTTGATCCAAGAAGTAGTTGGGGGCTCCTGGAATTTACTGGGGGCAAGGGAAATGTGTGAAATGGACCCATGCTTTAGGAAATCATTTTTATAGCTGTGTTGAAAATGAATGGTCGTGAGGACAGACTTGAAGGAAGAAAGACTAATTAGGAGGCTATTGCAGCAGTCCAGGCAAGGAATGGTAGCTGTGTAAGTAAAGAGAAGCAAATTTACTGGAGAGATATTGTTAAGATAGAAATGACCATATTTGGCAAATAATTAGCTAAGTAAGAGAGATTGAGGAGCTGAAGATGTGGTTGCAAACCGGAGTGAAAGGATGGTGATGCCTTCAAAAGAAGTGAATTTTGGAAGTGGGGTGGGTTTGTGGGGAACGTAATGAGTTCTGTGTGGGACATTTTGACTTTGACATGCTTATAGGACATAGAGTGTAAATAATCAACAGGCAGTTGGTGATGCAGAACTAACTGGATCTCAGAAGAAAAAATAGAATTATAAACACATGGGTGTGGGAGTTATCAGCATGCAGATGATAACTCAACCCATGAGAGTTAATGACATAACCAAGTGAGAGAAAAGAGAAGGCAGTCCAGGATAGTCTCATGATGTACCCACAGTTAATGAGTATGACATGAATTAAAATCCAGTAAAAGAGACTGAGGAGTAAGGTAAAGAGGAGAACCAAGAGCATTGTCAGGAAAACCCAAGAAGAGTGTTTTTAGGAAAAAATAATCAGCGGTACCAAAGTCTCAGAGAGGACAAGAAGGATAAGAATTGAGAAAAGACTGCTAGCTTTGGCAATTAAGATTTTATTGGTAATTTTGGAGAGAACAGTTTGAATTGAATGATGAAATTGGAAGCCAGATTATGGAGGATTTAGAAGAGAGGAAGTGGGGACCACTTTTTCAAGGCATTTAACCGAGAAGGGAAGGAAAAATGTAAGGTGGTCAATAGCAGGCATGGTAGGATGTAGTGAAGGAATTCTAAGAATGGGGAAGATTTGGACTTGTTTATAGGTGCAGGGCAGCTGGGTGGTACAGTGGAAAGAGTGTCAGTCCTGAAGTCAGGAAGACTCATCTTCCTGAGTTCAAATCTGACCTCAGATACTTACTAGCTGTGTAACCCCAAACAAGTCACTTAACACTGTTTGCCTCAGTTTCTTCATCTGTAAAATGAACTGGAGAAGGAAGTGGCAAACCACTTCTATCTTTCCCAAGAAAACCCCAAATGGGATCACAAAGAGTTGGACACAACTGAAACAAAGCAGGGCATAAGTAGGGAGAGAGGAGGGATGATAGTGGGAGCAGTTTGCTATGGAAGATAGGAAGGGACAGGAGCAAATGTACATGTTGGGAGCTGGCCTTGACAAGGAGAAGGGCTACCTCTTCATCAGAGACTAGCATGAGGGAGAAGATCATGGGTGATGATATTAGGAGGGTATGGAGTGGAGGAGTAAGTCATGGGAAGTTGAGTAGATTGAAGAACTGAGAAGTGAAGATATTTGAAGGAACAGCAACATGTATGTCAAAGTCCCTTAGGATGAGGGCAACTGTTAGTAGAGAGGAGATTGAGACTGAACTCTGAGAAAGGATGGAGAAAAACCAGATTAGTAGATAATGTCCACCAGGATCTGGAGTGGATAATAAATTTGGATATCATGAATCTCAAAGGAGGAAAGTTGCTGAATGGTGTCAGTTAGATGGAGAGTCTAGAAGTGATGATGGGGAGCAAGGAATATTCCTGCTCCTCCTCTGGCACCAGGGGTGTGAGAATAGGTGTAACCCCTACTGGAAAGGCTGGTCAGCAATATAGTTCATGACGGGGGGAAGAAGAGAGAGTGTCAGGTCTCTCTTTAAGTACCAGAAAAGAGAAGGAGCAAGAGAGAAGGAGATCTGAAATGAAAGGGAGTTTGTTAATTATAAATCAGGAGCTCTAGAGGACACAGTAGAAGGGGCAGGCAGATTTGGAGAGGACATTAGCAGGGTAGAGTTGAAGTAGATGGCCATGAAGGAGCAGACAGCTAGTATTTGGTTTGTTTGTTTTTTTAGGCAATTGGGGTAAAGTGACTTGCCCAGGGTCACACAGCTAGTAAGTGTCAAGTGTTTGGTCTGAGGCCCGATTTGAACTCAGATCCTCCTGACTTCAGGGCTGGTGCTCTATCCACTGTGCCACCTAACTGCCCCTAGAATTTGGAATGAGGTATTTGTGCCTTGGTAGTTGGGAGTCCAATATTAATGAGATGAGAAGAGTAAAAAGGGGGTTAAAAGTACACTAAGCATTGAGAAATGAGTCCAGCCAGGATTATCACTGGATAGGAAGAAGTCTGCTAATGAAGGTGATGGATTGATAGAAGATTTAAGGCCTCACCTGGGCCTAGGGCCCTCAAAGTCTCTGAATAACCCACAATTGCTTGGTCTTCGTGGCAGGTGGTATTGTGTTCAGAGGGCCTGGTCTTATGATAGTTGGAAGGAGGGAGGCCCTGGAGGTGATTAAGTCTTGGGTCTCCCAGAGCCTAGGGAGCTTATTATGACTTCCTCTATTTCTCTATAATTCGTGCTATGTTTTGTGAAACTTAAGTTTAGTAGAGCACCTTGAAACACTTCTAGATCATAATCACATGTATGAAGTGTTGTACATGTTATCAATATAAAACATTGTTAGTTGACCCGTATTTACTTCTAAATGGATTAAATTGGTGAAGAGTCAAGCATGTATTATGGAAAAAGCTGGGAGTCAGATCTTGGTTCAAGTTCCAGTTTTGGCACAAATCAGGAGATTTGGGAAAAGCCAATCTCAGGACTCAGTTTTCTCATCAGTACAAATGCAGGGATTGGACCAGATTATCTCTAAGCTTTCTTCTAGCTTTAATAATCTATGATTTTACAATTTGCTAAAAACCATTGAATCCATAGGAAAAATTGTTACTGAAATAGAAAACTAACTATTTTCTATCCTTTCTCTAGTTTATTAACAGGTCTTCATGATGCAATGTTCACCTTGATTTGTCTGGTTCCCCTGGGCATCACAATAATCCAGATTCTGGCCTGGACTCCCTTCTCTATCAGGAGTAGCCATCACTCAAACTGGGCAGTGACCCCCCAACAAGATCATATTCTACCATGGAATTGAAATATGGCTTGAGGTTTTTGTATTTTTTTAATTAAAAATTTTTTCAGTTGGCAAAATTCTGCTTCTCTGCCTTTTCTCTCCTCTCCATTGAGAAAGAATGAAAAACAAAACCACTGTAACTTTTGTATTTTTTATATGTTGAATTTATATTATGCCAGAAGGAAAAACTGCTTGTTTTACCTCTTATTTGTTAAAAAACGACTTCAAGGGCTCCCTTGTCTCCTTTGATTATGGGACTAAATAGAGTTTGTTATTAAATAACAACCTGCCTCTGATGGTTGTAGATTATCATATTATAGTTCCATAATGTCTTATATTCTCAGTATAGCCTATAGCTCTAGGTAATGGAATTGCTTCATGAATTGGTTAGATGAATTCTCTGTGGGTGGGGAGGTGGTCCTAGAGTATACCTGGCTATATATATTACTTCTAGATTCTCTGACACTATACTGTTGTGAACTGATTTTAGGAATTGATTGGTTTTTCAAGCTGGAGGGATGCCTATGTGTGCATTTGGATTTGCTGCAAAACATTATTGTGCTACAATCAGCAGATTTCGTAGTAATCTGGTAGAGCTTTGAAAGTTTAGGGACCAGAACAAGAGGATTCATGTGCTTCTCAGATTTTTATGTGGCCCAACAATGTCTAAGAGTTGAGGTGAAAGATGATGTGTAAAAATAAGGGTACTTCTATTCTCTTTAGTTTGTTGAATTTGGCTTTAAATAAAAATCTATGAAACCAGCTAGATTTACCTCTATGAGCCCTAGAGCCCAATGAGCATGACTAAAAATGGAGATAGTATGTTCACATTCCCACAAGTGGACTCATGTCCTCCATTTTACCTTTGGAATGAGGAATTAAGGACATAGACTTTACTTAACTGAAATTATCTGTTTTTTTTTTTAAATTAGCCCATCTTATTTGGTATATAGTTTTTGGATAAGCCATCTGGGGTGTTTCTACTGTGGCTGAAGTCATGGACCTGCTATTGATAGTTCCTTTTTACCATATGTTGATGCTATAGACTTTAAATGAAGATTTTACTGAAGCAGCCTCATTAGTCGCCCTTTTGTCTGTGTTTGCCTGAATGTACATGAAGTTTGCTTTATATCTTTTACAATGAAGTTTTGAAAAATGCGCACTTACTCAGTTTAGGTTATTTTAGGAGAAGCACATTTTAAACTATTAATGATTACATGAATGTGAATTGTTATTATTACTTGAATAATATAAGCCCAACCAGAATAAACTTAATGAATCCGGGATACTGTGGAATATCAATCAAATGAGGATTATACTAACCTTATAACTATTTATTATTTCTTAAGAAGTCTTATCAGAGAGAGTGCTTTATACTTACATATTTGTTGTATAAAATGCTGATTTTTTTTTCTGTTTACATTGAATGAACTTACCAGGCAGAGGCAGGTTTGTTTTGTTCCTGGCACACTGAGAAAATATGAAACAATTCCAGCTCTCTGCATATTTTATAAAATTCCTTTTGGTGGAAAATTTCTTGATATTCTTAAATTGTGTTTTTAAAAGAGGATATATGTAATAGAGAACTAAGTGCCTTCTGTCTTGCCAGTACTATCTTTAAAAGAATAAGTAAATTAATTTCTGTATCATGAAATTTAAAAAATTAAGTTAATATTACTTGGAACAATTGAATTGTTAAGAAAGCATGATTTAATTATGATATCTGACTTTTAAAATGGTACTTTTTTTAGGCCATCCTTTTTTGTGATATTTAGTAATAATAAACCCAGCTACTTTCAGTATTCTTTCCATGTGGTTTCTTTGGTGTTCTTTTGACCTCTTTTCCTGATGTCTTTATTATTCTTTTTTAATTCATAAAGATATTTATTTAGTGTTGAATGGGATTACATGTTTTTTTAAATTTGTTTTTAATTTTCAGCATTCACTTTTATAAGATTTTGAGTTCCATATTTTTCCCCCTCCATTCCTTCTCTCTTCTCCAACATGGTATGCAATCTGATATAGGCTATACATATACAATCATATTAAACATATTTTCACATTAGTCATGTTGTGAAAGAAGAATCAGAACAAAAGGGAAAAACTATGAGAGAGAAAAAAAAGAGAAAGTAGTAATGCTTCAATCTATTCATTTTCCTTTTTTGTCATGTTAGCCAATCTGATAGGTATGAGATGGAACCTCAAAATTGTTTTAATTTGCATTTCTCTAATCAATAGTGTTTTAGAGCACTTTTTCATATAACTATAGGTAACTTTAATTTCTTCATCTAAAACTGCCTGTTCATATCCTTTGACCATTTATCAATTGGGGAAATGACTTGTAATTCTTACAAATTTGATTCAGTTCTCTATATATTTTAGAAATGAAGCCTCTATCAGAGACACTGGCTATAAAACTTGTTTCCCACCTTTCTACTTCCCTTCTAATCTTGGCTGCATTGGCTTTGTTTGTGCAAAATCTTTTTAATTTAATGTAATCAAAATTATCCATTTTGCATTTCATAATGTTCTCTCCTATTTGGTCATAAGGTCTTCTGTTCTCTATAAATCTGACAAGTAAACTATCTTTTATTAAAGAAGATATTGTTGTAGCATAGGATACACTTTTCCTCCTACCCTGGCTTATCTGGAACATTTGATATTTATTAACCAATTAACTTGTAGCAATTTGCATAATAAGCTGCTACAAACAAAGATCCTGATTACATATGTGCTCCCCATACAGAACTTCAATAGAAGGTCCTCACTCTTGAATAGGGAGTAATCTCATCTGTGGCTGTTATTCTCATTGGTTACATACCATTTGATGAGTACTGCCTTATTAAAAAAGGGTAGGCATTTGTGCAAACTGCACTCATCAAAAACATATCCATTTCTTGATAGCATGCAAATGATTAGTTGTTAACCCTTGTTTTTCTGTTGGCAACTTCTCATTTTAAATAGATGCCAGTACTAGAACTTAGGGGTGGAAAGGTAGAAATATTTCTAATCCACATTTTTCATTCCTAGAGCCCTTTCCTTTGAAAATATTTCATAGTGACAATCCCTTCACGATTTTCATCATCTAGGAAATGCCTGATCTTGATCTACTTTGTTTTTCCAGTGTGGATGGCTAGGCCAATTTTTCTTATTTGGCCATAGATCACATGGAAGAGCCCTTTAGTTTTCCAGGACTTTTCCCATCGGGGACAATCCTTACATTGTAAGAAAGAAAGAAACAGGTAGGTCATGGAAAAAAAATAGGGCAATAGTTAATGCAATAATATTCAGGGAGTAGGAAGCCAATCTTGAAGCACACAGAGTATTCAAAGCAGAAAGACAATTTAGGCACTGCAGATGACTTGACCAGCTATTCATGTTGGTGGTGGTAAATTTTTTCCTATTCCAAAGGGTCTGCAGAATTCTGGTTTTGTGAGATATTCACTTGAATCATATAGAAAAACTATCATACTTCTCATATGCAGGATATGTGGAAAAAATGAAATATAGGAAATGTGTTGTTCATAAATGGGTCGCTGTAGATAGATCAAAATTTGACATTGTAGCCACTCTTTTGGTGATCATCAGTGTCATGGAAGATATCCATCATAAAATCCCAAATAGAAGAGGGACTTGTTTACTGAAGGCATTGTGCTAAATATGACAAGTCCTGATCAATAAAAGAAATTGATCAAGAAAAACAAGATAGAACAACACCAAATATTTCCTAGATTGTAATATGCAGTTGACAAGACAGCCCTTTCAATTAGTCTGTCAGCTGATGGACAGTGAACTGGGCCTAGAATTGAATAGAAGGAGGTCAGGCTGGCTTTACATTTGGGAAGTAAGGGGAAACTTTGAGTAATTCCAAGTTGGTTGCTGCTGCAAAAGCCCACCTTTTTTTTTTTTTTAAACATCAATAACCTTCTGGTGATACTATATGATTAGAAATCAGAGAACTTTATTAATTCAAAAAAATAAAATTATAGGAGGTCAATGGGAAAGATACATAGTAGAAATAAGTAGACTGCTGTAACATGATACTTTAGCAGTGATTTTTATGTGAGAAGTGGTGTATAAGACATTATCAAGGGCATATTGGAAAAGGAAATGGATCAGTCTGTTATCTTAGAGCTGAGCTACTGAGTGAATGAGTGAAAGTTCACCTAACTCATATATCTAATTATCCCTGACTATGCTTCCCTCACATCCAGCCATATAGCAGATACCTTGTCATCGTCCTTGCCACTGCATACTTTTCCACACCTTGTTCCTAGAACAGTAATCAAATTGATATTACCATAGCCAGTGGAAAAGTTGGTGCCCTACTCCCTTTCCTTGCAACTTCCCAGATCAAAACCCCTTTCCTTGGCTACCATTCTCCATCCTATATGTGTTGTCTCTCACACTTCGAATGTAAGCATCTTGAGGGCAAGGTCTGTCTCACATTTGTATTTGTATCCCCAGTATCTAGCACAGTGCCTGGCTCATAATAGGAGCTAAAATCATTTCTCTTTCATTCATTCATCTGTAATTTCTCCTTCACTTATACCCATTCCACCTCAATGGTCTTGAGCTCTGAAATTCCTTTTTTCAGTTATAACTGATCCTTCCATCACTCTTTCTGCCTCATGCCTCCTATTTTTTGTTCTCACCTTGACCTTCAATCCCTTCACTCCTCCAGGTATATCATCCCTGTTCAGGCCTCATTTTCTTCCCTTTTTAATTTCAACTCTATTATTGACCATTTCAACTATACACTGTCCTTTGTCTTTTAATCCCGTGCTCCCTTGTCCTCTTACCACTCACTCCCCATCAAACTCCAACCCTGACTTAACCCCCCACCAGCTGCCATCTCTGCTTCTAGCACATGCTAAATATTTCTTGAGGAAATAATTTACTCAACAGTGTTGACCAGATCCACTACAAATTGATCTTACCTGAGACTTCATGGCAGCATGCCATCCTTTTATTTTTCTGTGATTTACTCTGTCATTTTATTCCAAACTTTTTCTCTCTCAAGCCCCTATCCCACCTTCTCTAGATTCTCAGCAGAATAAGTTGCCTTCTATAATTT